GTGCGGGGCCAGTGGCCTGTCCCTGCTCCTGGCCGCCACCGCCACCCGCTCCTGGCTGCAGCGCCGGGCGCCGGGCGGCAGCGCCAGCCTCGGGCTGTGGCACCTCTGCCTCGGGGGACACTGCCACCCCCAGCCCGGCACCCCCGGTAGGCACCCGCGAGACGAGCTGCCTCCGGTCTCTGCGGGGTGGGGATGGGGGGTCACTGCTGCGCTGAGCTCTGTCTGGTCTCTGTGGGGGGGTCACTGCTGCGCTGAGCTGTGTCCGGTCTCTGCGGAAGAGGGGGGGTCACTGCTGCACTGAGCTGTGTCCGGTCTCTGCAGGGGGAAGAGGGGGGGTCACTGCTGCACTGAGCTGTGTCCGGTCTCTGCAGGGGGAAGAGGGGGGGTCACTGCTGCACTGAGCTGTGTCCGGTCTCTGCAGGGGGAAGAGGGGGGGTCACTGCTGCACTGAGCTGTGTCCGGTCTCTGCAGGGGGAAGAGGGGGGGTCACTGCTGCACTGAGCTGTGTCCGGTCTCTGCAGGGGGAAGAGGGGGGGTCACTGCTGCACTGAGCTGTGTCCGGTCTCTGCAGGGGGAAGAGGGGGGGTCACTGCTGCACTGAGCTGTGTCCGGTCTCTGCAGGGGGAAGAGGGGGGGTCACTGCTGCACTGAGCTGTGTCCGGTCTCTGCAGGGGGAAGAGGGGGGGTCACTGCTGCACTGAGCTGTGTCCGGTCTCTGCAGGGGGAAGAGGGGGGGTCACTGCTGCACTGAGCTGTGTCCGGTCTCTGCAGGGGGAAGAGGGGGGGTCACTGCTGCACTGAGCTGTGTCCGGTCTCTGCAGGGGGAAGAGGGGGGGTCACTGCTGCACTGAGCTGTGTCCGGTCTCTGCAGGGGGAAGAGGGGGGGTCACTGCTGCACTGAGCTGTGTCCGGTCTCTGCAGGGGGAAGAGGGGGGGTCACTGCTGCACTGAGCTGTGTCCGGTCTCTGCAGGGGGAAGAGGGGGGGTCACTGCTGCACTGAGCTGTGTCCGGTCTCTGCAGGGGGAAGAGGGGGGGTCACTGCTGCACTGAGCTGTGTCCGGTCTCTGCAGGGTGGAGAGGGGGGGTCACTGCTGCACTGAGCTGTGTCTGGTCTCAGGGATGGGGGAGTCACTGCTGCACTGAGCTGTGTCCAGTCTCTGCAGGGTGGGGGTCACTGCTGTACTGAGCTGTGTCTGGTCTCTGCAGCCTGAGCTGCACTGGTCACTGCTGTACCGAGCTGTGCCTGGTCTCTGCATGGTGGAGAGGGGGGGTCACTGCTGCACTGAGCTGTGTCCGGTCTCTGCAGCCTGAGCTGTGCCGGTCACTGCTGCACTGAGCTGTGTCCGGTCTCTGCAGGGTGGAGAGGGGGGGTCACTGCTGCACTGAGCTGTGTCTGGTCTCAGGGATGGGGGAGTCACTGCTGCACTGAGCTGTGTCCAGTCTCTGCAGGGTGGGGGTCACTGCTGTACTGAGCTGTGTCTGGTCTCTGCAGCCTGAGCTGCACTGGTCACTGCTGTACCGAGCTGTGCCTGGTCTCTGCATGGTGGAGAGGGGGGGTCACTGCTGCACTGAGCTGTGTCCGGCCTCTGCAGGCTGAGCTGCACTGGTCACTGCTGTACTGAGCTGTGCCCAGTCTCTGCAGCCTGAGCTGTGCCAGTCACTGCTGCACTGAGCTGTGCCCAGTCTCTGCATGGTGGAGAGGGGGGTTCACTGCTGCACTGAGCTGTGCCTGGTCTCTGCCTGCCCAGCTGGGGCCCACGCCGCTGCCCCGTGCCCTCTGCCCGCAGGTCTGCTGGCACTGCTGGGGCTGGCGCTGTACACGGCCGGCACGCTGAGCCTGCTGGGGCCGGCCCGCGCCGCCTGGCGCTTCTCCTGGTCCTACATCCTGGGCTGGGTCGGCGTCGTCCTCACCAGCTCGGCAGGTAACGGCACCGCAGGGCCCGGGCACTGCTGCGCTGAGCTGTGACCGGTCTCTGCAGGGCTGAGCTGGGGCCCGGTCACTGCTGCACTGAGCTGTGCCCAG